CACGAAATGGCGAAGCAGGCCAACCACCGACCGCGAAGAAGCCGAGACCCGATTGAGGACCCGGACCACCCCCAAAATGTTACACCGAAAATGAACCTTTACTTCCGAAAAATGCTCCCCCCACACGGCAACTACCAGCACCACCGGAAAAAAATACCAACACCACCAAGATACGAAGAACAAACCCCCCGCCTCCCACCAGGAAGCAGGCCATGGAACTGCGCTCCACCGACTTCAGCAAAAGGCCCCATACCCCACGGAAGCCGTCGCATCCGGGAACAAATCCAGGTCAAAATAGCTCCCAGGGCCAGACATCCACAGAGCTCGCCTGTTGAAGGAATCCAAAAAGGTGAGCCAAATCTGCAATCGGCGGCAGAACACCCAACCCATCGGCAGTATACGGTAAGCGAAGGTAAGCTTTGCCCAACAATGACTGCCAGGCCCGCAGCTGAAACTTACACTTGCCCAGTACCCCACTAATCTCAACTTTGAAGGCCAACAGCTTGTCCTCAGGCAGCCGGCCCTCCACAGCTCCGGAATCCAAACAACGCCCAGGAAAGTAATCACCGCAGCCGGGCCCTCCGTGTTGTCCAACGCCAGCGGAATAACGAAACGTTGTGCAATGTGTTGCAAAGTGGCCAGCAAAAACTGCACATACCCCGGAAGCTGGCGGACCCACACAAAGAAATCATCTAAATAACGGATGACCGCAGGCACCCCCGGAGACATCCCATTCCATGCATGAACTGAACTTCTCGAACAAAGCGTAGGATATAAAAACACCCCATGAGAAGGCACTTCACAACATAAAACGAGCCCTCCCAACGACAACCCAAAAACACGAAGACCGGCCGGATGTACCCACAACAGCCGAAGCGCTGACTCAATATCCCAGAACGCCAGGAGCGCACCATGCCCATACCGAAGAACCCAGAAAACTGCCGCATTGAACGACGTATAATACACCGCACCTGACTCCGTATCGATGGCGTTGATCACCGACCCCACTGCCAGGAAGGACAGGTGAGGAATTAACTGAAACGCATGAGGCTCCTTTTTTGGGCACAACCCCCCAAGGGAGAAAAAGGAAACGGGCCGCCCACGCGGTCTAAAAACCCACTTCCTTACGCAACTTATCCGAAAAACACCGCTGCATACTGCAAGGCCGACCGTGAGTTCCGCGCTAAAGGAGGAAATCGAAGTCAAAGTACACGGGATGCGGAAACCCTCCGAACAAAACTGGAACCGCCAGCAGAACCCCTACGCTTTGAGGCTGATTGTCCCGGGGAGAACGAACCACCAGCCCACCCCGAAAACAGACCAGAGGGCCTCGCCGGAGTCATGAGCTGTATCCAAAGGCCACGGACCGTATTGTCCCAGCGCAATGACGGGTAAACCGCCCTACGCTGCTGAAACTGTGCATCACACCGTAGCCCAGCGATCCCCCCTTAAAACCAGGAGCCTTGCTAATAGCATCAAGGGAACAGAAAACGCCGAGCAATGCTCAGGGGCCGTTTCCCCAATGACACTGGCCACAATCGCGAAAGCCTGCAACCAATTAGCAAAGCACGCGGGATAAACGAAAAAGAACGCCGCTTCTCCGCGTCCTCCCACCTGCCCTCGTCAACCCTCGACCCATCGACAGGCAGCCGCTCCAAGAGCAAGAGCGTGAAGATCCCGACATACACACCTCACCCAATCTACTCCCGTACATCCGAATGTCAATGCACACCAACGGGCCCTCGAACCACAGGCACACTGCGAAGCCGCCCGGCCCTGGCACCCCCTGCACCCTCACCCAAAACCGTGGATGGGGCCGCCTAGCCCAGAGCACCGGACCCCGCCGTAACCACCCCGGACCCTAACCCAGAACCCAGAGAAAGAAAAACACCAGGCCCCTGTGCGTCCCCATTATCCTGCCCAGGCCCCCGCAAACATCCCTACCTGCAGGCGGGAATCACACAGAAACAGGCCCAGCACCCCCACTACCGCCCAGCGCAAAGTGCCGCAACAAGTCCCCAGCCGGACCGCAAAACGCAGACTCCCGCACCAATACCCAACGAGATGACGCCGCCCCCCGACACCGCAGAAGCCCGCCCCCAACAGTTCCCGGAGAGCAGCTGAAAAGAAGAGAGCAGACCCCAAAAAAAAATGGTAACTCACCAGGCTGCCCAGGAGACGTCCCAGCAGCCGCGCGTCCCAAAATCCATCGGCGCCGAGCGGCCAGCTGTCGCCCCCGGATCGGGTTCCGACAGCTCGCCCTCCGATCGGTCCTCCTCCTCTCGATGACTGGATGGCCTCCCAGTCCCAGGAGCCACGGGTCCCGCAGGTCTGTGCCGCTCCTGCCGCCCAGCACCAGCCACGCTCCCTGACGACCCTGGGCACTTGCCAGCCCTCCGCCTAGCGCTGCACCTGTGGAAAAATTTTTTTTTTTTTTTTTTTTTTTTTGACGGAGCCACTGCTCCGTGCTGACAGAGGGCCCGCCGGCCGCAGCACCAGACAGCCCGGCAGCTGCAGCAGGACATCTCCCTCGCCGGGCACCCTCCCTGACAGGTGCCTTGTCAGCGGAGGAGCCGCTGTCATCCCGTCCTCACTGCCGTGCGGGCGGGGGGCGGGGCTTCGTCCACGAGTGACCCCGCCCCCCCGAACTCCGCCGAAGCCTAGGATTCCTCCCGGCCTCCCCGGGAGCAGAGGCAGGAGAGCGCCCTGCCAGCGGGGGCCGGAGGGTCCCGAGTGGGGCTCCCATCATGGAGCCGAGCCCAGGGCTAGTAGGGAGAACGGGGGGAAAGCTCTCTGGAGGCGCAGACCGCCCAGCACCTGGGCGCTCCCGCCCAACTACCTCCGAGGAGCCCGGGCCCTGCAGAAAAGCAGAGACCCGGCTCCGCAGCCAGGCCCTCCCCTTGGAGGCCGCAGACTCACCCAGCCCGGCCCAACCGTCCTTCTCATCCTGGCCTCCCCACAGGCAGACACAGGAGAGCGCCCTGCCAGCGGGGCCGGAGGGTCCCGAGTGGGGCTCCCGTTCTGGTCCTGAGCTCTCTGTGGGGCGGACAAAAGTGCTCCAGAGGCCTAAGCACATGGGCGCTCCTGCCCCCCTGCCGCTGGTGACTAGCCCGGGCCCCGCAGGGAGGCAGAGACCCGGCTCCGCAGCCAGTACAGCCCCTGCAAGCCGCAGCTGGGCCAATTGTCCCTCCCTGGCAGCTGCCACTGTACCTAAACCGCAGGGAAGGACACCCTGGTGGAGGGCGAGAGGGAAGCTCTCTTTCCCACGTCCAGCTCCCAACTGACGCCCCTCCCCAGAACACTCCACCCTAAAGTGCAGGAGACCCCACCTACACTCTCCTCTACCAACCAGATCCCCCAGCTATCCTTTACCAACCCTAATACTAACATTAACCCTTACACATCTTCCTTCCCACTCTGGGCCTAGTCATGCCTGCCCTGCGCTAATTCTTTTCTTCTTTTTCCGCTGCGGGCATTTCTTTACTAGTAAAAAAAAGAAAATTCCAGCAAATGGAGACGCTATAACTGTCACGTAAACCAATTAATTTACACGTATTGGGATTTTTTTTTTTTTTTTGCAAAGACACGGAGCAGAATACATTTTGGCCTAAATTTATGATGAAATTAGATTTTTACATTTTTTTTTTTTACCGGACGTGTTAATAGCAAAAAGTAAAAAATATTTTTTTTTTCTCAAAATTTTTTTATAATAGCGCAAAAAATAAAAACCGCACAAGCTCTATTCATGGGGAAAAAAGGACGTAAATTCCATTTGGGTGCAGAATGCCTGCCGCAGTCCCGCTAAGTCGCTTTTCTAGCCAAGATATGTCGCAGAATGTATTTTGGTCTAAATTTATGATAAAAATTAGATTTTTTAAAAATCTTTTACTGGACGTGTTTAATGGCAAAAAGTCAAAAATATTGTTTTTTTTCTCAAAACTTTTTGTTATAGCGCAAAAAATATAAAATGCACAAACCCGTGGGGAAAAAAAGGAGGTAAATTTAATTTGGGTGCAGCGTTGCACGACCACGCAATTGTCAGATAAAGTAACGCGAAAATTGGCCTGGTCAGGAAGGGAGGGGGTGGTAAATCCTCTGGAAGGCAAGTTGCTGAGCAATGTTGTTGATAAACATGTTTTTTTTTTACTTGTTCCAATTGCCGGGACCTTCTCTGTGCACTCGGCAAGGCAGCTGTCATTAATCAGAGCTGAATTGCCTTGTACTGGGACAGGACGGGGGGGGGGGGGTCCCGGACGCAGGGCACACGTCCTGTGTACAATTGTGACTTTTTTGGGGGGGGCTTGTATAACACCCCCAAAGTCTGCAGCTGATTAAAGGCTAACCAGGACTTGCAAGGAACATGTCTGAGCTCTGGTTCACACTGATGCGGTGCGGAATTCTCAGCGTTCTCTGTGCGAATTCCACACCGCATCAGAATCGCACCCCATTCATGCGATCCGCTGCGGGCAGGGGCGGACTGACAACTCATGGGGCCCCTGGGCAATAGGGGATCATAGTGCCCCTGTGTCCTTGCCCAAACTCAAAAAAGCCTATGAAAGGTACCAGGGGCATCTCGTGGGGCCCCCTACTGACCCCAGGCCCTCGGGCAGTGCGCTAGTCTCCAAATGGTCAATCTGCCCCTGGCTGTGGGTGTGTATGTTAACCACTTCCAGTCCAGACACTTTCACCCCCTTCCAGTCCGGACACTTTGACCCCTTCCAGTCCGGACACTTTCCCCCCCTCCAGTCCAGACACTTTCACCCCCTTTCCAGTCCGGACACTTTCCCCCCCTTCCTGTCCGGACACTTTCCCCCCCTTCCAGTCCGGACACTTTCACCCCCTTCCAGTCCGGACACTTTCCCCCCCTCCAGTCCGGACACTTTCCCCCCCTTCCTGTCCGGACACTTTCCCCCCCTTCCAGTCCGGACACTTTCACCCCCCCCTTCCAGTCCGGACACTTTCACCCCCCTTTAAGTCCGGACACTTTCACCCCCCCTTCCAGTCCGGACACTTTCACCCCCTTCCAGTCCAGACACTTTCACCCCCTTCCAGTCCGGACACTTTCCCCCCCTTCCTGTCCGGACACTTTCCCCCCCTTCCAGTCCGGACACTTTCACCCCCTTCCAGTCCGGACACTTTCACCCCCTTCCAGTCCGGACACTTTCACCCCCTTCCAGTCCGGACACTTTCACCCCTTCCAGTCCGGACACTTTCACCCCCTTCCAGTCCGGCCCCTCCCCCCCCCTTCCAGTCCGGACACTTTCCCCCCCTTCCAGTCCGGACACTTTCACCCCCTTCCAGTCCAGACACTTTCACCCCCTTCCAGTCCGGACACTTTCACCCCCTTCCAGTCCGGACACTTTCACCCCCTTCCAGTCCGGACACTTTCACCCCCTTCCAGTCCGGACACTTTCACCCCCTTCCAGTCCGGACACTTTCCCCCCTTCCAGTCCGGACACTTTCACCCCCTTCCAGTCCGGCCCCTCCCCCCCTTCCAGTCCGGACACTTTCCCCCCCTTCCAGTCCGGACACTTTCACCCCCTTCCAGTCCAGACACTTTCACCCCCTTCCAGTCCGGACACTTTCACCCCCTTCCAGTCCGGACACTTTCACCCCCCTTCCAGTCCGGACACTTTTACCCCCTTCCTGTCCAGGCCAATTTTCAGCTTTCAGCGCTGTCACACTTTGAATGCAACACTGTACCCATATGAATTTTTTACCATTTTTTTGAGACCAATAAAGCTTTATTTTGGTGGTATTTATTCACCACTGGGATTTTTATTTTTTTTTTGCCATGTGAATGAAAAAGTCCAAAAATTTGAAAAAAAGTGTTTTTCTTATAAAATTTTGCAAGTAAATAATATTTCATCATAAATCTTCGCCAAAATGTATTCCGTTATCTTTTTTAGTAAAAGTAAAAGAAAAATAACCCAAATTAGTTTATAACCAAAAATAAATTTTTAAACATTTTTTTATTTTTATTTTTTTTTATATTATTATTTATGTTTTTTTTTAACATACTGTCACCCTAGCAGTACAGTGTCACCATGGTGACACTGTACTACTTGTGGGGGGTGATGAAGATTTTTTTTTTTTTTCTTTTTTACACTGATTGCTTTTACACACATAAAGGCTGTAAAAAAATAATTTCTCCTCTCTGGCTGCATTCTTGCAGCCATTGAGAACTACTGTGTGAGCTGTGTTTGGTCACAGCTTGTCACATGGTACAAGGCTGTTGTGAATAGTCTTGTACCATGTGACCTCTGTGCAGGGGCGGGCTGAAAACTCATGGGGCCCCCTGGCAATAGAGGATCATGGGGCCCCTGTGTCCTTGCCCAAACTCAAAAAAGCCTATGAAAAAGGTACCAGGGGCATCTCATGGGGCCCCCTACTGACCCCGGGCCCTCGGGCACTGCTCGAGTTTCCAAATGGTCAGTCTGCCCCTGCCTCTGTGATCATTCACAGATTTGACACGTAGTAAGCAATGATATCAGAAGTAACATCTTGCTTACTACTATTCATGTGATCACTGATTGGCCAATCAGCGATCACATGATCGGGACCACACACAGAGGTCCCGTACAACGATTGGTGTTCCACTGTGTCTGGAGGACACAGCGGGCACCGGATCGCGGTGCTGCGTGCTTCCAGGGAGCGCGCACAAGCAGACTGCGGGGAGGCCGTTTGTAAACGGCCACCCGACCCTGCAGTGCCACCGTCCGTCCGTTTATATACAATGGCCGGATGGGAGGTGGTTAAGTTAACAACACCCTGAAAGTGGTGCAATGTGCAGAATCGGATGACATAGGTATGGATACCCATGCGATCCGATTCTAGTGTGGACCCAAAAAATGGTCCTGCAGATGCGGTGCGAATAGATCCATAAAAAATGTACGGCTCCGATCGCAGCGGACACAAAATCGCAGCACACACAAATCGCATGTGATTTGCACAGGAATGCGGTGCGGTTCCTGTGCGAATCACATGCGATATACCCATGGGCGGACTGACCATTCGAGCACTCGGGCACTGCCCAAGGACCCGGGGTCAGTAGGGGGCCCCATGAAATGCCCCAGGTACCATTTTATAGGCTTTTTTTTGAGTGTGGGCAAGGACATAGGGGCCCCATGATCCCCTATTGCCTGGGGGCCCCATGAGTTGTCAGTCCTCTCCTGGATATACCGCACCGCATATATGTGAACCCGGGCTGAATGAAAACTTCCATATTCCTATTATGAAGAGAAAAACATTCTCCTACCTCTGACTGATACGTATTGAATCATTGTAGAAAGACAAGAGGTCAGATTTGTCACTTCAAGATCTGGATGATATGTACCCTGCAGGGATAAAAGAGACAGATTATTATGCAGATGCCCAGCCACAGCCACGTCCAGGGGTGGACTGACCATTTGGAAACTCAGGCACTGCCCGAGGGCCCGAGGTCAGTAGGGGGACCCATGAGATGCCCCTGGTACCTTTTTCATAGGCTTTTTTGAGTTTGGGCAAGGACACAGGGGCCCCATGATCCCCTATTGCCCGGGGGCCCCATGAGTTTTCAGTCCACCCCTGGCCATGTCTGACCTGGAAGTTGACCTAGTTGCCGTGCTGGGTAAGATATTCAAATATTAATATATTCTTACATAGTTACATACAGGAGTGGACTGACAACTCATGGGGCCCCCGGACAATAGGAGATCATGGGGCCCCTGTGTCCTTGCCCACACTCAAACCACACCCAAAAAAACCTATGAAAGGTACCAGGGACATCTCATGGGGCTCCCTACTGACCCCAGGCCCTCGGGCAGTCCGCCCCTGTTTACATAGTTAGTCTGGGTGAAAAAAGACAAAATTCCATCCAGTTCAACAACCACAGAAAAAAAAATAAAAGTTATAATCCTACACCCACAGTTGATCCAGAGGAAGGCAAAAAAAACAGCAAACCGACTGGAGAATAAGCTTTCAAGACAAATTCTGTCCTCTATGGAGGTCTCACCCCTTGTGACCCCCACTGGCATAATGGTGGCTCAGGTGGCACTCCCGGCACGTGCTCAACTTTCCAAGTTAGGTGACACCAGGGATTTTTTTTCTCAGAGAGTAGGTGCAGGTACTCCCCACTAGTGATGGGCCGATCACCCCCCCGTGCAGTTCACAGTCGAACATCCGAACCCACGGGATGTTCGACCATGAACTTCAAACAGGAACCAAACAATTTACTGAGCGGTATCTTCCTGCATCCGAGTATGTGATAAGATAGCGCTCAGTTATGAGTTCTATTATGAAGTCATGCGGTATTTCATGACTATTGCACCAGAGATAGGCTCATCCACTTCCCCATTACCACCATTACCGTTCCTCACCAACCCCCTTCCCCTTAAACAATTATACTAACAAAAGACATAACACCAATTTTGGAGTAAATGGCCAACACAGCCTTTTATTAACAACTCAAGTTACAATACACCAACCAATCCTTATAACAAAAACCCACAGAATTGTTGTTGGTCTTCGAAGGCACCCCAAAACGATCCGAAATGCACCTGAGGACAACCATATACACTAGGCCTCCAGCCGCAACCAACCAGCTCGGAGACAACCATCCCGTCCGCAGTGCAGCACCACCACCTTCCAGTTAAACCTTGGTTAACCGGGAATGTCCCCGGGCATCCCATACCACGGATGGGTCCCACACCATTGTTGTTTACCTTCCAAATAAGAACCGCCTCCAAGGACCAACAACCGCCCATGAACCAACATAATCCCCCCCTCTACCTGGAGGGATCCAAAACTCACCCAAACAGGAAAGGCGGGAGGGAAGCTCACACTCTTGCCGTCCAGCTAACTGACGCCCCCTCACAGTACCTCCCCACCCTAAAGTGCAGCAAAACCCCACCTACACCAACCTCTACCAATCAGCTACCCCCCACTAACAATAACAAATCCCCCTGGAGCTACCTTAACCCTTTCTGCTCTTCCTTCCCCCACTCTGGGCCTAGTCATGTATGCCCTGCGCTATTTCTTCTTTATTTCGCTACGGGCATTTCTGTTGTGAGACATTCATTCATGTCTCCGCTGTCAGTGAATGGGAAAAGAATTGTCAACATTTGTTAAACGGCGTGGGGTCCCCCCTCCCGTCCATACCAAGCCCTTCAGGTCTGGTATGGATTTTGAGGGGAACCAGGGGGGTTTCCCGCTGACAGCTGAATGGAAAAAGAATTATCAACATTTTTTAAACAGCGTGGGGTTCTCCCTCCTTTCCTTCCCAAGCCCTTCGAGTCTGGTATGGATTTTGAGGGGAACCGGTTGGGTTCCCCGCTGACAGCTGAATGGAAAAAGAATTGTTGACATTTTTTAAATGGCTTGGGATTCCCCATCCCATCCTTACCAAGCCCCTCGGTTTTGGTATGGATTTTGAGAAGAACCGGTGGGGTTCCCTGCTGACAGCAGAAAGGAAAAAGAATTGTTGGAATTGCCCGACAGTTAACATTTTTTTTTAAAAAAAACGGCGTGGTCTCCCCCCTCCCATCCATACCAAGCCCTTCGGGTCTGGTATGGATTTTGAGGGGAACCGGTGGGGTTCCCCGCTTACAGCTGAATGGAAAAAGAATTGTCAACATTGCTCGGCAGTTACATTTTTTTTCCTTTAAAAGGCGTGGGGTCCCCCCTCCCGTCCATACCAAAACCCTTCAGGTCTGGTATGTATTTTGAGGGGAACTCCCATTCCAAAATATAAAAAAAAATCTATACTAGACCCTTATCCGAGCATGCAGACCGGAAGGTCAGGAAGGGGGAGGGATGAGCGAGCCCCCCCCCTCCTGAACCATACTAGGCCACATGCTTTCAACATGGCGGTGTCCTTTGGGGAGGGGGGGGGGCTCCCCCCAAAGCACCTTGTCCCCATGTTGATGGGGACAAGAGTCTCTTTGCCACAACCGTGGACTGTGGTTGTGGGGGTCTGCAGACTGGGGGGCTTATCGGAATCTGGAAGCCCCTTTAACAAAGGGGCCCCTAGATCCCGCTCCCCCATATGAATGAGTATGGGGTACACGGTACCCCTACCCATTCACAAAAAAAAAAGTGTAGTGTAAAAAAAGATAGGAGACAGTTTTTGACAAGTCCTTTATTAAAAATGTTTTTTTAAAAATCCCCCAAAATAGACCCAATTG